AATATCGTCAGCGACTTTGACGTGGAAACCCTCGACTCTATTCACCAGCGTCCGGTCTTGGGGGAGCTTGCGGATGTTCCCGACCGTGTGGAGATTCGTAAGGCCATGCAAGCACTGAAGAACGGCAAAGCTTGTGGTAGCTCTGAAGTCTTTGCCGAGATGCTGAAGTATGGTGGTCCTGTTCTACTGGGTAAGCTGCAGGCATTGCTGGAGGAGGTATGGCGGGCTGGTCGAGTACCGCAGGATTGGGTGGATGCCATCCTGGTCCCTATCCCCAAGAAGGGTGATCTGAGTCTGACTGATAACTGGCGCGGGATTGCCCTTCTCGACGTGGTTGGCAAGCTTGCTGCACGGCTTATAGCGGACCGTCTGCAGCGTGTTGGGGAACAGTATCTGCCTGATTCTCAGTGCGGTTTTCGCAGAGGCAGGGGCTGCTCGGATATGGTATTCTCTGTTCGGCAAGTCGCAGAGAAGTTGCATGAGCATTCTTCCAAGGGATTCGCAGTATTCATTGACCTCCGAAAGGCCTATGACTCGGTGCCGCGGGCCGCCTTGTGGAGGGTGCTTGCAAAGCTTGGCGTACCAGAGGTGCTGGTTTCCGTAATTCGATCGTTCCATGTCGACATGTCAGCATCTATACGCATTGGTGGCGAGCTGTTGGAGCCGATTGCGGTGGGGAACGGACTGCGTCAAGGATGCACTATGGCCCCGATTCTTTTCAATTTGTACATGCTTGCTGTTGTCGAGAAATGGCATGAAGCAATAGCTGGTGACGACGAGATTGGACTATCAATTTGTCAGTTTCGTCAGGACAGACTGTTCAACACGCGTCTCCGAGCATACACCAGGGCTCCACTAACGGAATGCCAGTTTGCGGATGACTCTGCACTTCTTGCCAAGACTCACCCCGGTGCAGAGAGAGCACTCGCTGGGTTTGAGACTACAGCTTCTGCCTTTGGGCTCAAGGTTAACATGGCCAAGACAAAGTTCATGGCTATTGGGACTGGGGTGGTGAACGAGGACATGGCACCTTTAAACGGCACGGTGGAGCACGTGCACTCCTTTCGTTATCTTGGATGCCATGTGACACCGGATGCCAGGTGTACCTATGATGTGTCGCGTAGGATTGCTGCTGCATCGGGCGCTTTCCACAGTTTGAAGGATGCAGTGTTCTACAACTCGGACTTCACCATCGGCATCAAGCGTGTAGTCTATGGCGTCACTGTTCTGGCTGTCCTCCTGTATGGTTCTGAGACTTGGACAACACGGCAAAGGGACCTGCAGCGGCTTGACGTGTTTCACCATCAGTGCTTGAGGATGATCTTGCACATCGGTCGTGCACGCCAGATTGATGAGCACATCTCCAATTTGCAGGTGCGGAAATGGTGGGGCGACTTGGAGCAGCCGGCTGACAAGATTTGCAGGCGGCGGCTGCAGTGGCTGGGCCATATGGCACGTATGCCGAGGGGCGACCGCATCCCTCGTCAGCTGTTGTTTGGCTCCTTGCCATCGAAGCGCCCGCCCCATGGTCCGAGGAAGCGATGGAAGGACGTGGTGCGGACCGACCTGGCGGCAATTGGCATTGAGCCCAATTCCTGGCTCGACGTGGCAAGTAATCGCCGTGAGTGGAAGTCCCAGTGCCTTGATGGGGTGGATCGTATTGTACTTGCCCGTCAAGAGCCTGTCGACAAGCCTCTGCTTTGCGGTGTGTGCAACCGCAGTTTCCGCCGCCGTCAGGATATTGCACGGCATCGTTGTACATCGCGGCGTTCAATAGCAATTATAACCCGTGGGAATGCGCCGTCACGTCAGTCGTCGGGTCCTGGTGCCGCTTCCCGGAGACAGCGCTAATCCAAGAGCTGCCCCGTATGGGGCCACTTAGCCAGTCATGGCAGTGGAGAAGAAGGAAGGAAGAAGGTGTGTGTGTGTGTCTGTGTGTCTGTGTGTGTGTGTGTGTGTGTGTGTGTGTGTGTGTGTGTGTGTGTGTGTGTGTGGTGTGCGTCTGTGTATGGGGATATTGTCTGTATCGGCTTTTGGTACTAATGAGTAATGTTCAGGTCTGTGCTGGCATGCATGTGTGAACATGAAATTGTTTGGTTCTGTGCATTCTATGTTGTATATTATTGTATGTATGTGTGCATTTCCACGAACAGCGTAGATGAGCGTGGAGAGTGCATTCATCCCTCGTCAACCACTTCCCCCTTCAGACTTGGGCTTACTAGAGTTTTTTCTGCGTACCTCTCATTTTTGTTTGTTTCCCTCTGATACTGTATTGATGCCGGTACCTGTTCCTCGATGTGTTCCTCTATCTGCAGTCGCCTTTATCCTTCGGTCAAGTTAACGTTTATTGTGCTCTATTTATCGTGCGAATCAAAATAAACAATAATAACACAAGTCACGCTAGAGTGACAACATGTGCGTGTAGTAGGGTTGATGCAATGGGACATTATAATTATGTGGAACAGAACACACATTGGGCAGATTGATTGGGCATCGTTGATTGTGCTCAGTCCAAACAGTGAACATAATAATTATCTCCAGTGGCAGACCGTAGCGGCTAGCCTCTAATAGGTAACTGGCACTAGTCGCTACTGCTTGTTTGACATGTGCCGCCAGAACACCTGTTGTGTCATGCTATAGATGCACATGCCCTATTCTGGGGCATACTGAGGTACTTTGATTTTGTTGACTGCATGTAGACAGCATCCACTAGTAGTACACGTAGACCTTGGCTATTTGTAGGTCAACCACCATCGCATGGATCAATCGGTGACTATGCACTTGGAGGTTGGAATAGCCCGCACTGAACAGATCTTGCCATGGCCCAGGGAGTAAACTCGCTTACTCGACTATCCCGGTTTTAGTCATCCAGCATGAGTGGCGCAATTTGTCCATACCATGTTGCGAGCTCACAGTTGTTTGGGCAGGTTTCGAGCTGCACCACGAAACAAAGCGAAATAAGAACGACTGTAGAGCAAGGAAGCGGCGAGACGGCACTTCCAGGACGAGACGGGCAGTAGAGATGTGTTCACAGCATGAGCAACCTCTCAAACCCTGCCGGTACTCCACAGTTACAAGAAAATGCCGGACTGGACGACGAGCAACTGCAAACCTGCTACATCCACCCAGGCAGATAGCTGCCAAACCAGGCCAATGTCGACCCACTGCATACCGATATGTCAATGTCAAACAGATCCTGCAGGAGAAGACTGGGATACTGGCGTCCAGTGTACAGAGACCAGTCACATTTCCTACGTCTTTTGCAGCATACAGGATAGACTCATCACGATAGAGTCCACTACTTCGTGATTTTTATTTGTAGAATACATGACGCGTATTCAGTGTGCCTCGCAGGACTGCGAGATGCTGCAGAAGACCAGGTTCGACTTAAGAATCCTTTCTGGACGGCCATTCATCGACGGTGGGCTACACGATGCTGGAGGAACTAGATTCCAGTGAAAACCCAAGATTCCTTTGCTCCTGGACGCTCCGACGTGTTGTGATATCTGCCAGGTGCGCAGTAACTAGTATTTTCATCGCTATAGTGAGGACGACGCCGATCGGCAAACTCTCGCTCACAGCCATCACCAGCCTCTCAAAACCATCACTTGGCATCCCCCAGAGGTATAGGAGAAAGCCAAAACAGCTCACAACAAACAAAAGCTAAGGACGATGGAAAGAGAGCAAGTCAAAAAGAAGACGAACAGTATGAAGTTCAAATGGTTTTGAACACTCGTACCACCAACTATACCACTTTCAATAAATTGTGACGCCATTTTGTTTTAACACGCATACGGTCCATTGTCCATAAAGGGACGGATGTAAAAATTCAATAGTCGACCCAGTGGCTTACAGTCTCTCTCTCTCTCTCTCTCTCTCTCTCTCTCTCTCTCTCTCTCTCTCTCTCTCTCTCTCTCTTTCTCTCTCTCTCTCTCTCTCTCTCTCTCTCTCTCGCTCTCTCTCTCTCTCTCTCTCTCTCTCTTGTCGCGTAGCGCTGGACCAGGGACGTTACACCTGGAGGCACGAAAAAGTACTCGGGGTCATCGTCAGGAACATGCGTGAGGATATTCGAATCTGCGCTGCTGCAAACACTGTACAAACCGAAAATTCAAATGAGCTTGACTTCATCTCGTTTTGCAAGGCGGGAGAGAAGCCAGTTCGCGTTCAGCCCAGTCGAAAGTTGGCTACGACTGATCTCCTGTCAGCGGCCTCAGACTGGAAACTTCTTTTCGTCTCAGTAAGTGCAAAGATTTCTTTCCCTAGCTGTGTTGCACTTACCACCCTAAGGCCAGATATAGTTCTGTACTCTACGAGTCATAGGATTGTATTCTGGATTGAGTTGACAGTTTGTACTAAGGACAGGTTCAGTGTCAGTAACTCGCGGAAGGACAGACGGCATGCGGATCTGGCCGATCAAACAGGTGGCAGGTCGTTTCTTTTTTGAGGTAGGTGTGCGTGGTTTCATCCCGGACTCTCTTCGGAGCGCTCTGAAAGCTCTGAAAGCGCTTGGGTTCTCTAATCGAAGAATAAAATTTATTTGTAATTTGTGCAGTAAGACGTCTCTGCGAAGCAGCCACATCATCTGGCTGCGACGTCAAGAAGAACACTGGTCGGAAGATCCACTTTTCTCTCTCTCTCTCTCTCTCTCTCTCTCTCTCTCTCTCTCTCTCTCTCTCTCACTCACTCTCTCCCTCTCTCCCTCCCTCCCCCCCCCCTCCCCCCCCCCCCTCTCTCTCTCTCAGGGTTGCACATGAAGCAACTAGCGCTGCATGCATGTACATGTATGGCGTCATTCGGCTACGCTTCGTGAACTTCAGTCAATCCTTGAATTAGCTAGCACAAAGCCTCTACAGGCATGTGCATGTGAGTTCTGAGCATACTAGAAAACAGGCAGCATAGATCCTTGTGCGATTAGCACTTTGGAGAACACCATACCTATCACATTCAAGCCTTATTGCCTATGTGTTGTTTATAAGGCTAGAGCACGTTAGCATACTCACCAATGGTCCAGTTCCCAGTTTTTGGAGAAATCTTTGAGTTGCGTGTAACTACTGTATGGGTTGATACTTGTCTTGCGTATGCAGCTTTCCTTGTTGTAGGCTCCCTGACAGTGGAAATAACCTTCATCATCACAGAAACGATGAACTTTATCGGAACGATCAAAGTAGCCTCTGCCGGTCATCTCTTCTTCGAACCTAGTCTTTATCTTCGACAGTGCCTGTTCTAGGATATGCTCTTCTCTAGGGGATAGCTTCTTGAAGGCACGTGAACTGATGTTTGGAAGATAGTTTGAAAGACGACGATGTCCAGATTGCCTGAGCACCGGAACACAGCAAAGTCCAAAAACGTTGAAAACAATTTTTGTTACGTTTGTACAACAATCAAAGGGAAAGAGACGGCGGAAAGCCATACGAAATAAAGAGCTGGAATGCAAAACCCGCTAAATCCTTTTTTGTGAATTTTTGGTACGATCCCATACCTATCCTTGCCCAACCCTGAGCTCTATTTCCCACTCACCATATTAGACAGCGAGGCCCTAGGCTGTGAAGATCCCATTGTCAACCTGTACGATACCCTCAGCATATTCCTACTTCTTTCTCCTTTCATACTCGAGAGCATCGATTGGCTCGGTAACATACCGTATTCTACCGGTTGTGAGTCGACCCCGGTTATCCAGAGGTCTCAATCCTGCGTTTTAAAGTTTTCACACAAAGAAGCACTACTAACCACTCCCTGCTACTAACACATCATTCTTGGAGGGTATACCGTCCCAATCCTTGAAAAAGGCCCGCAATAAATTGGCAAAACTGTGGACACATGGTGCACTCGTGCATGCAGGGCAGGTCATTTTTTGTAAGATACTGATAGTTTCTGGTTATATGTCGAATCCCGGTTGTAAGTCGACCCCCACCCTTTCTCCTTCTATTTTTAGTCGTAAAAGGTCGACTTACAACCGAAAAAATACGGTACATGTATAATTATAACGACATCAGTCGGTCTGGGAGTGTGCGATGCCTGGCACCAGTTGACCCATGCAATTGGATTCCACTGAACAGCTCTAGTGCAGGAGTGGCCAATAATGAGACCTTTCCAAAGATGCTAGCCACTTTTTTGCAATTTTTCATTGTTTTTGGAGAAATCACATTTTTTCGCAACTTTCTTCATTTTGCAAACTACTGCGCAAGTAAGTCTTCTGCAACCTTGCCTCCTTGGCCCCATGGCCCATCATGGCATGGCAGTTGAACAGTAGAGTCACAGACCCTCTTGCGAGCACTGAAATGATGGAAGATGCGTGCAACATGCTACTTGCACTGTGTGAAGTAGTAGACAAGGTACTTCACCAGTGGCGGATCTAGGGGAGGGCGTGGTGGGCGCGCGCCCTCCCCTCAAACAGTTCGATTTTTTAGTGCATGCACATGGGCAGTTGCGCAAGTGTTTGCACATGCTGTGACAAGTAGTTTCTAGTGTCAGAAAAGAAAGTTCTTCTGAACACGGAGTAGTTGACTTTGGACCAAGTTTGGTTGACTTTTAGTTTTGAAATTAGTGTTCAGTTGACGATCTTGTATAGCTAAGTCGGTGAAGGGGATGGCGCACCGCCCGCCCAAGCGGCTAGGGAGCCAACAAACTCTCCACGGATTTTTCGCGAAGCGAACTTGCGCTTCGTCAGCTGCTCAGTCGAGCGATCCGTCTTTGGAGGAGAATTCGGACCACCGCGAAGATCCTGAGATCGAGGTCTGCTCAGACTCTGATCTTCCCCAAATGGAATCCGAAGTAGATTCTGACGACGATGGTGGGACCGTCGGTAGTAGTGATGCGAGTCAGGAGCGTTTACCTGTTGAAACTATCGCAGATGACGACGTTGTGACTGTCACGAATGTGGCTGGTGGCACTGCTACGCAGCGAAGTTACTCGGATGCTGTTGTGTTGATGCAGCTATTGGCGGTGCAACTCTCAGCGATGCAGAAAAGCGCAACATACTTGGGAACCGGAAGCCTGATAAACAGACGGTGTTTCCATCTAGGGATTATCCCGACAGCCGCCGAAAGACCGGTACTTCCACTCGCTCGCTGCTACTGAAGTGGTTTGAGTGGCTTGCCTATTCCGGAAAGGCTGGCGAGGAAGGCGTTTTTTGTGCGCCGTGCGTCCCGTTTCCTACATTGCATCGACAAGGATCAACCCGAGGTGAATACCTCATCATCCATTCTTGCTGCTGGACATGGCCATCCAAGTAATCGTATATTTTATTATTTTGCCATTGTTCTCGATCTCAGCATGTCTTGAGCTTTAAAGCACTATCTTTACACAATTCAATGTAGTACGGCTATGTTCTACTACAGCCAGAGTCCTCAATGAAGTGGTTGAAAAAGTGGGAGTGAGTGCATGTGCTAAAATAGTAATTCTACATAACCGCTAAGCCTATGACGTAAAATAGCCGCTATGTCGTAATGTGTACAAAATACAGGTACCGCATAGGTTCCCTGTCATGTATATTACCCGCGCCCTCCCCTCAGCTGAACTCTGGATCCGCCGCTGTTCACAGCAGGAAGAGGTATACTGTCTTTTATAGAGTTTTCTGTGGCTGCACTTCTGAGAGAGCTTTCACTGTCTTTTATAGAGTTTTCTGTGGCTGCACTTCTGAGAGAGCTTTCACTGCTTTTAAGTTGCTCCAGGGATGAGCAGAGAAGCGCTCTGGAGCTAGCCTGGACGAGACCGTTGAAATGTCTGTGATCCTTCGATTCAACAAGAAGCGCTGAAAAATGCATCAAATGTACTACTCGAAGTATGTGGCAGCACCGAGCAATGCTGGTATGCCATGTATACCAGGCTAAGCTCCAAAAAAGGACAAAAACTCAATCAAAGAGTGTTCATTTTCCTTGCTTAACTTGCTAACTCTGTGAGCATATGCATCCATATGTAGCAATGACTTTACTCAGGTAGTTGTGCTGCGCTACAGTGTTGTCTAATTCCGTTACCAGCTTTTGAGCCTTTTCTGACAATATGGATGCGATTTCAGCTCGCGATCTGCAACGGAGGCGTGCAATGCGGACTCGCGAAATGCCATTCACAGAAGAAGTCAGTGATGCGACGACGCCTTGCTGATTTGGGGGGGGGGGGATATTGGGGCAGAGTTCAATGCAGGTGGGTACGTCACCATGGTATTTGCGTGGTTTGGTACAACTTGTACAAATTTACAGGCAACTCTTGAACCTTTGTACAACTTTGCTCCAGAAAAGGTCAAAATCGTACGCCACATCGCTTGTCGCATCGCAAACGTTTTAACTTCTGCGATGGCCCAGTTGCGGCAGTTGCGTGGACTGCGAGATGGCTACGATTCGGGGATTTCCCAGTTTCGCAAAACAGCGTTCCTGTCACTCGAGTTGAACCTTGGAGTGAAAGTATAAAGTTGTAGCCTGCAGGCACGGTGACCAGGTGACTGGTGTACGCATGAGCACGTGACCGCTTACTCACCCGTGTTCGACTGGCCTGGGAATATGGGCTGAACGCTGCATTGCAGCCTTTTCGGACCAAATCCAGTCGCCTCAGCGTCCAAAACACTACAACATATGGACCAATCGCAGTCATCCCTGCTTTTATAAAAGCGAAACGGCGCTTCTAGTGACTTTTTGCATACAAAATGTTCGGTTAATGTAGGAGTTAACCGTTGTTAACAGTCACGTACCATTGCTTCGCTGTTGGCCTTTATAACGGGTTGCATAACCCTCCTTACGTGTGTGCACGATCTTGCTCTCTCTACATACTGCTGTGTATCCAGTGCTGCCAAATAATTTTCGCCTAAAATCGGACACCCTTCACCGCCAAGCTGCAAGGCTGGCCACATGGTGCGAATTTTTCTCCTCGGCATTTTTTTACAGAGAATTCAAAATATCGCCTAAAACACCATGAAAAATTCGCTTCGTTGCCATGGTAACCCCAGAGTTGTCATGAATTTTGTAATGATGAGTGTGGTCGCACACTGACTCTGTACAGACTGTCAGTGTACATGCCATCCAGCCTGATCCAGGCATTTTACTTTGCACTTCCACAGCCAAGCGCTAGCCTTTTTAGAAGCAAATGTACAGTGATTTGTGCCTTCAGTTGCGCTGAAAAGTGAAAGTACAGGACTTCTGCATAGGAAAGTAATGATCTCCGACATTTTGGCTGCTTTTCGGACGTTTCCCTTTTCGGACCGGTTTTCGAAAGAGCCTTCAAAAATCGGACACTGTCCGAAAAATCGGACGGTTTGGCAGCACTGTGTATCATAGACATCACATGCCCACGCTCTGCGCATGCGCAGATTTCCTGTGCGCACAACAGAGCTTGCTGTCTTTCCAGTTTCCTTGCCTGCAGTCAGCTTTCAAATTCTGAACTCAAAAATTCTGATATCTGATTTGAGTTTGCCTCCGTCCTGCTTCAGAGTGTCAGTCCTAGTTCTGCCGATTGGCTGCCGCCTTTAGGATTCGCTTTCCTTGTTCTCTCTCAGCTCAGTCCCGTCAGACTCCGTGTCTTCAGCGGCCAGAGATTATTTGAGTATTATATTCTCACGATGGCTCGTTTCTCGACCAGAAAAAAGACGCCATCGGCCAGAGTGGCAGCTCAACCTTCGGATACAGGACGTAATGTGCGTGTGCGGCGAAATCCTGTTCGTCTTCAACCGCCCAGAACTCCAATATCTCCCCACTTGGATTCTGTTGTCTCCAATGTAGCGCCGTCAGTTTCTTCTGCCGCCGCCTTGAATGTGGTCCCTGATCCCGGGGCGGCAACTCAAACTTCGGCTGCAGGCAGTAATGCGCGTGCGAGGCCAACTCCTGTTCGTCGTAAACCAACCGGGACTCCATTATCCACGGCCTCTGTTGTCTCCGACGTTGCGCCGTCAGTTTCTTCTGCCGCCGCCTTGAGTGTGGTCCCTGATGTACTTGCTTCGGCTGTTTCTCAGGCCGTTGGCCAGGTCCTCCAGGCCCTGATGGAGCGAGTAGAGCAGTTGGAATCTGCTGCAGCCGTCGTGCCGCTTGTCAACTCCAGCTCCGTTCATGCATTGGGCCATCCGCCGGCTGCTCGTCCGTCGCTCTCTGTACCTGATAAACTCCGCGGGCGAATTGAACGCGACGAGTTTATTGACTTCGACGACCTCCTCCCGGACCAGCTGGGTGTGGAGCCCGATGTGGTCCAGCTAGCTGTGGGGGCCAACCGCTCTGTCCAACTTGTACAGAAGCCAACTCAGGCCCAGGGCCGCCATGTCCACGATGTAGCGTCATGGGTCGAGGCGTTTACTGTCTACACAAGAGTAATTGTCGCGGCGGCTCCAGATAGGGCGAAT